GAGGCAAGTAAGCCAAGAAAGAGTGGCAGATATAATACCCCCCCGCCCAAAAAAACAAAAAAACAAAAAACAAACAAACAAACAAAAAACAACTCTCCCATCTTGTCTCAAGCCAGCTGAAATCTAGAGTCCTTATAAAGATTAGACCCCAGGCATTTATCTCCCTTTAGGAAGATCCTGTCCTTGATTTGCTTTCAAAATGTACGAGTATGTTCTTTCTGAAGATACATTATCCCTCCAACTTTGTTTTTCTTCTTACAACCTCCCTAGTTTCCCAGGGTCCGAAAGATAAATCTCTTATCTATAGTTGACAACATGGATGGACCTTGAGAATATCATGCTAAATGAAATAAGTCAGGCAGAAAAAGCTAAGAACCACATGATTTCACGCATCAGTGGGATGTAAAAGTGAAACTAGAGGGCACGCACAGCAGGGTGGGGGCTGCCAGAGGGAAGGGAGTAGGTAGGTGGGGGATGAAGGAGATCAAATATATGGTATCGGAAGATGATTTGACTTTGGGTGGTGGGCACACAGTGCCATATACAGATCTTGTAACATAGAAATCCACACCTGAAACATACATGATCCTATTAGTCAATGTCACCCAAATCAATATATATATCTACCATGGACATGGATAATAGTTTAGTGAAGGCTAAGGAAAGGTGAAGTGGAGTGAGTGGAGGTGGACAAAGGGCAGGGAGAAGGGGGACACCTACAATTATGTCAACATTAAAAATTTTTAAGAAAAAAAAAAAGGTTTATTTCCCCATATTTTTCTTCCTGAGATTTACTGACTGTATGGGGGAGGTTTCAGAGTGCTTTTCCTCTGAACTATTCACTTAGGTCCTGTCGAAGTAGAATCCTTAGGATGTAACAACATGAAAGGTTGCACGTAAGTCACCTATGGCAGAACCATTCCAATTAGTCGCTGACTTAAATGTGCGGGTTAGCTAAAAACAACCTCCTGGGCCCTGATGGAACGGGAGACCAGACTCTTATCTCACAACGGAAACAAAAACAACAATGGAAGGTTAAAACAAGTTAGCTACAGAACAGCAACAGTCAAAGGATGTCCCCAAAAGACAAGAAAACAAGCAAAGAACAATTGTAACCGAAGTGTTGTTTCAGACAGAGGCGAGCTCTCAGCCAGAAAGGGCCTACCGACTGACCTCCCACGGAGACTCTGGAATTAGCCAGAGTCTTACCCCCTGCCAAACGGGGACTGGGCTGTCTGCTGGCCAAGACCCAGAGGGCTAAAACGTCCAGAGGCCAGTGCCAGAGGACTCCTGGCATGCCCACGGGTTTGACTTGCCCCGTCAGGCTTGGGAGTCAGTCCCGGGGCTCCTCACAGATCTATTTCCTTCACCAGCTAAGCATCTCAGGTAGCTAACACCTAGAGAGGGAGTGTCCTGCAGATAAACAACTGCTGGCAGGCACCTGGAAGTTCCTGCCATCCCTGCCATGGGCGGTCAGTCTGCTACAAGCAGCTGGGACCCTAGCTAAGTGGTAACCAACAAAACAGACAGAAAGAACATAGCACCATACACATATGTCTAAGCAATGGTGCATGTAGCAGAGATATACAAGCCTCGATAAATATCTGGCTCTTGCAGAGACAGAGTCCCTGGTTTGGTTGTCTCCCACCTAACCACAGAGGCAGAGGCGCCTCACACCTCTGCACCCAGAGAAGCGCTTTGATCTGGAGCTGAGGAGGCTCAGCCCGGACTTTCAGATTCAAAGAAAAAACAAACACACCCACATATAGCACTTGATGAACTGGATCAACTCCTAACGAGGCAATGGGGAGACTGATGATTGGGAGTGGACTCCTACAGGGAAAATTCCTGGCAGTGCTGCCAGAAGGAACCAGTGGGACTCCCACCCTTACCAGTCACATACCTGAGAGTCCCATGGCTGTCCCAGAGGCGTCGCCGTAATTTGAAACTGGAACTGGAAGTTCAGCTGTCCTTGGCTACCAGAGAAATAAGTAGAAACAAAGTTGAATCTTTGAGGTGCTTTTCGTCAGATGCTGGCCATCTAAGAAGGCAGCAGGTATAACACCAGCCCCAAAAAGCCACCCTCCCATCTCACTTCAAGCCAGCCGCTATACAGGGTTAGCAGGTGGCAAAGAATCTAAAGCTTACATGAGTTCCCAAGATGTGTTTTCTGTCCTGGTTCTTGTAAAGATTCACGTCCACTCTCCACCCTCACCCCCCACCTACGTCTCGCTCCCTTCAGGCAGGTCCTGTCCTTGATTTTCTTTCAAAATGCATCTTCTCTTGGAGGGATTGGCCCATCTTTCAAGGCTGCTTATCTTTATTTCTCTTACAACACATCCTCCACAGAGTCTGTAAAAAAAAAAATAAATAAAAATAAACCTCTTCTCTATAGTTAGTGCAGTGGATAGTTATTAATCAACTGTGATTCTCTTCTTATTGCTACCCTTCCCCTATCAGAATAAGATGAAAGTTTTTAATTAACCAGGGATGCAGAACACAGAATTGGCCCCACAGGGCACAAGCAGATCCATCCATCATCCTAATATGTAAAAAGCCAGGGGCCAATCACGACCTAAATGACCAAGTGGGTGGCTGAACAAGAGGCTGCGTGGGGCGAACTGGCTGGCCGGGGGTCAGTGAGGGAGGACCCAACGACTGGGCCCTGAGCCCCAGCCAGGGTGCGGCAGCAGAAGGGAGTTCTGGGCTCCAGCTGGGGCGCGGCAGAATTAGGGGGTCTCCCGTGATTGGAGGTGTGGCTAGGCCTTCAAACCTGGAGCCCAGAACTCCCTGCTGCCACCCCATCACAGTCAGGGTTCAGAGCTCCCTTCTGCTGCCATGCCCCGTCAGGGGAGGCAGTTAGGGGTGACAGGTCAGCAGGGATGACAGTGAGGGGCAACAAGGCCGGCGGGGTGGGGGGTGTAGGGCAACTAGGCAGTTAGGTGGTGATCAGGTCAGTGGGGAACAGTTAGGGGGTGACCAGGCCGGCAGGAAGGTGAGCAGTTAGGAGGCAGTGGTCCAGGATTGTAAGAGGGATGTCCAACTGCCGGTGTAGGCCTGATCCCAGGCTTTGGGCCTAAACCGGCAGTCAGACATCCCCCAAGGGATCCCAGATTGGAGAGTGTGCAGGCTGGGCTGAAGGGACCCCCTCCCTGTGCATGAATTTTGTGCACCAGGCTTCTAGTATATATAATTCTTTATTGTTCAAAGTATTACATATGTCCCCTTCCTCCCCTCTATTGACCCCCTCCAGCCTGCCCCAGCTCTTCACCATCCCATTGTCTATGTCCATGGGTTATACATATATGTACACAAGGTCTTTGGTTTATTACTCCCACCCACCCACACACCCACGCACCCATTCACCCCCACCTTCCTTATAGGCTTCTGCATTCTGTTCCATGCTTCCAAGTCTCTGGATCTACTCCGTTCATCTGTTTATTTTGTTACTTGGGTTCTACATGTGAGTGAGATCATGTGATACTTACCTTTCTCTGACTGACTTATTTCACTTAGCATGATACTCTCCAGGTCCCTCCATGCTGTCTCAAAGGGTAAGAGATTCAAGAGGTTCTTTTTTTAAGCAACACTAAATTTCTTGATGTCAGAGTCATGATATTTTTTTTTTTAGTACACATCGTTATTCAGTGCTTGCTAGCATCATTCTGGGTGTTCAGCCTTTCTACACAAAAGTGGTTTCTATTCTCAGACCCAGATTGCCTTATATAAAAAGTATTCCAATCATTCCCTCTCTCTCCAATTCTATTTTCCTTCTCTTCAAAGTACCTATCACCATATAATTTGTCTATTTTTAACTGTTCGCCTCCCCCATTAGATGGTACGTTTTTTTAAGAGAATGGGCCCTCTCAGTTTTGTTCAGTGCTATATCCCAAGAACAGAAAACAGTGGTCTATCCACAGTAGTCCCTCAATAAATATTTAATACATGAATAAATGGGAAAACAACATTTTGTGAAGATGTGAAAGTGTTATTTCAAACATGCTAAAGTTGAGAAACTTGGATACATGGGTTAAACATGGAGAGAGCTAGGATTTACCCACTCAGATGTGAAAAATGAGGCCCAACGAAACTGTGGGAGTAGATGAGTTCCTACAGGTAAAGAGAAAGTGCTAAGAAAGGAGAAAATAGGACTGAGTAGAGACAGGGAAGACCAGCCAGAGGAGGAGCAGGTGGGTTGGTAGGCACTCACGGATCCCCTCTGAGAAACCAGTCGTGGAGTAGTGGGGCAGAAACCAAGTCTCAATACCTTCAGACATGAAGAAGAGAGCAGGGTGAATGGTGTAGAGTCAAGATTCTCTTTCTGTGTCACCTGAGCTTCAAGGATCCCTGAAATAAGGGATAGATGAATAAGTGGATGCAATTTTCTCTCCTCAGTGAAGATGGCACATACATTTTGGCTGAGGTCCTGGGGTTCAAATGGTGAACAAAACACCCTCTTCCATGGCACAGGCCGTATAAAAATAGTTCCCTAATCAAAATCAACTTACTGCACAGTGTTTGCCTCCGTGGTTTATTTCTGTAACTCCTTTTTAATGAGCTCCTGTGACTTTCATTTTTACTTTTGCTTTGTGTTTTCAGTTTAAAATGCATTCCTAGTGCAGGGAGCTTTCAGAGAGCAGCCTGGAGGCCCTCATCTCTGCCTCAGTAGGAGCTGACGCTCGTGTCCTTTGGGGCTGAGGGCCTCTCTGCTATGCTCCAGTGACTTCGCTTCCCAGGTATGCCGGCGGGAACGCTGATGCACACAGGAGTGGGACCGAAAATAAACTAACGAAAGGCCCAGTTAGGAAGGTAACACGACAATCTATGGACTATGAGAATCCACTCAGCTTTCCACCAGAAGAGCCACCCAATCGTGTATGAATAAGTATATTCCTAGTGGGGTTTAAATGTAAAGTTATGATTAAATCTCTTGCTTTTCTGAACACACAGCAGAGGGTTATCAGCATTGACTAGACTAAGGATTTCTTTAAAAAGATGGCTGGGCCACATACTGCCCCATTTGTGATCCAGTAGTCTGGGGTGGGACCAGATGTTTTGCATTTCTAACAATTTCTCAAGTGACCTGGGTGCTGCTGGATATACTTGCAAAAACTGCTGGTCTATGCAATCCATGCCATATATTTTCAATGACTTTTCTCCACACTTTTCTGTTGTCCTTCACAGGAAAAGAGCCAAATTCACATTCCAGCTCTTTTGCTCTGGCTTCTGTCAGTTTCATTTGTGAGGAAAACAAAACAAAACAAAACAAAAAATGAACAAAGTGATGCCAGGAATAACCAACCCTGGATTTCTAGCCTTTTACTCATTTTTAAGTGGAATGAAGGTTTTATCTTAGTCAGTAAGATGTTAATGCCTTTTAAAAAGTAAGAGCTTACCTGAATTATACAAAGGTGATACAACTGTCTCACACTAAAAAGTGATTCTCTTTCAATTACAAAATGTTTCTCCATTGAAGTCTCTTAATACTAGAAAAGAGAGATGGTGGTCATAAGATGACAGGAAAAAAATAAGACTCACTTCCCACAGAGATCGGAGTTATTTCATTTATTACTTTGTTTTTTAAGACAAAGACAAAACAGTACATCCAGAGTGTAAATGATGTAGGCAGATTGTAATACTGACATTGGGATGTTCAAAAGGAATTGTTTTTCTTCCTCTAGTTTAATGTATTGACAAAGAGAAACAGCATGATGTCATAATTAGGGCATAATCTGACTGTATGTAGAGCTGACAGGGCAACTCCTGGGAAGCTCTAAATGAGCTTCTCACTGATTTTGCACGTGAGCAATTCCAAACTGGTTAGGGCCACGTTGATTAAAACATGCGAAAGAACAAATTAATGTTCGAAGAGGTACCAGCTTTAGATTTCTGCTCGTCCTCCAGTTCTAAAAAGTAAAGATTAGAAATAAAATTAAGGCATTGCTCAACAAATACTTTTGAATAAAATAAATATTAATTTTTTTCAGAGATTTCATGACATTGATTTCTAAAGGACCCACTCTTCTGTTTATGCTATTTCTCCCACACAAATAAACTTTACTAGCTAATAAAGGCAATATTAAACAAAATTCAAATGATAAACAATTACCTATGCTTTTATCAAACATATAATATTGTCCAGCCATAATGTGTTTGGGATGAAGGTAAATTATTCTATAGAATCTATCATCCTGGGTAAACCCCACCCACTGACCTGCAATCAAAACTTAATTACAATAGAAAGGTGCACATCCCTCAGCTGGGGTGGTCATGGAGGCTGTGCCATTGGACCATAAGGATGCCACTACATTAGGCCATGCTACCAAGCTTAAGAGGCATAGCAGCTCTACCTACTACATAGAAAAACACACACAGGGAGGTGGGGAAAACGGTGAGACAAAGCAACAAGGTCCAAATGAAAGAAAAGAATAGTATTCCAGAAAAAGAGCTAAACAAGACAGAGACAAGCAATCTGCTAGATGCAGAGTTCAAATCACTGGTTATAGGGATATCAAAAAACTTAGTGATGCCGAAACCGGTTTGGCTCAATGGATAGAGTGTCGGCTTGGGGACTGAAAAGTCCCGGGTTCGATTCCCGTCAAGAGCATGTACCTTGGTTGCGGGCATATCCCCAGTAGGGGGTGTGCAAGAGGCAGCTGATCGATGTCTGATGCTTGCTCAGGCATGGTGGGATCAGGCCTAAATGGACAGTTGAACATCCCTCTCACAATCCAAGATTGCTGGCTCCCAACCACTCACCTGCCTGGCTGTCTGATTGCTCCTAACTGCTTCTGCCTGCCAGCCTGATCACCCCCTAACCATTCCCCTGCCAGCCTGATTGATGCCTTACTGCTACCCTGCCAGCCTGTTTGCCCCTAACTGTCCTCCCCTGCAGGCCTGGTCCCCCCCAACTTCCCTCCCCTACAGGCCTGGACCCCCACAACTGACTTCCCTGGTTGGCCCGATTGCCCCCAACTGCCCTCCCCTGCTGACCTGGTATTGCCCAACTGCCCTCCCCTGTAGGCCTGGGTCCCTCCCAACTGCCCTCCTTTGTTGGCCTGGTCATCTCCCAATGGCCCTCCTCTGCTGGCCTAGTCACCCCTAACTGCCCACAACTGCCCTCCCCTGTAGGACATCTTGTGGTGGCCATCTTGTGTCCACATGGGGCAGCATCTTTACCACATGGGGGTGGCCATCTTGTTTCTTAGAGTGATGGTCAATTTGCATATTACTCTTTTATTATGATAGATAGGATTTTTGTTTTTAAATTTTTTAAGGGATCTATTGGGTTGACATAGGTTAATAAAATTATAGAGGTTTCATGTGTACAATTCTATAATACATCATCTGTATATTATATTGTGTCTTCACCACCCAAGTCAAGTCTCCTTCCATCATCATTTATCCCCCTTTACCCTGTTCTACCTCCCTCTAGTCCTTTTTCCCTCTGATAATCACTATATATTTCAATGCTCTTAAGACAGTAGATTTTAAGTATTCTCCACACACACACACACACACACAAAATGAAATAACTATGTGATAGAATGGAGGTGGTAGCAAATACACTATGGTGACAATGATTTTGCAATTTTTTGCAATGTATTTAATCACATCTTGTACACTTGAACATAATGTTATATATCAATTACGTCTCAATAAAGATAGGAAAAAACATTATACTTTGATAGAAATAAATTCTTATATACAAATCTAGTTAGTATTGGGAGATTTAGATATGAATAAAGAATAAGAGGAAGTCTTATGCTCATTTTCACACACAAAAAAGCACCATTTACCTTTGATGGAGGAACAAACTCAACACATTCTATCCACATGGCTAAAAATGACTTTCCACATATTGCACATAATTTTCCCTTAGAGATTGTCTGCCAGATCTGCGGGTACCATGCCATGGCTTCCATTAGGAAAGGATTCATTTCTATCAGCTGATTCATTATAAATCTTGATGTTATTTCCTAGGTTAAAAAAATATGATGCCTCAAGATAATTTTCAAAATAACCATTCTTTATTATTCTTCAGTGTCTGTTAAATTAATTTTTCAAAGTGTATATAATAAAGTATATTGTCAATTATTGGCATTATAAGTAAGTTTAAATGTGTTTTTTAATATATTTTATTGATTTTTTTACAGAGAGGAAAAGAGAGAGATAGTTAGAAACATCAATGAGAAAGAGTCATTGATCAGTTGCCTCCTGCACGACCCCTACTGGGGACGTGCGGGCAACCAAGGTACATGCCCTTGACTGGAATCGAACCCGGGACCCTTCAGTCCACAGGCCGACGCTCTATCCACTGAGCCAAACCGGTTTTGGCAGCATTATAAATAAGTTTAGTTTTCAACAATGTAAGAAAAGCAACTTACTCTTATTTTATTATTATTTTTTAATATATTTTATTGATTTTTTTTTTTTTTTTTTTTTTTTTTTACAGAGAGGAAGAAAGGGATAGAGAGTTAGAAACATCGATGAGAGAGAAACATAGATCAGCTGCTTCCTGTAGGTGCCCTTTATCAGAATCGAACCCGGGACCTTTCAGTCCGCAGGCCAACGCTCTATCCACTGAGCCAAACTGGTTTCAGCAACTTACTCTTATTTTAATATTTCCATATTTTTATATACAGGAATCCAAGTTATAATACACTTATTAAAGTTTAGTTTAAATTTTGTACCGCTTATTACAGTAAACAAGGACTGTACACATATTCAGACTGACTTTAAAATTGACTCTATTCTATCTATTAGTGTCTAAATTCTTACTACTAAAATTGTTGATCATGAACCAGTAGAATTTGCATCACCTGGAAGCATATTAAAAATTCACTCTCAGGTGCACTCCAGACTTACTGAATCAGAATCTGCAATTAACAAGTTTCCTTAGATAATGCCTTTGCATATTAAAATTTGAGAAGCATTAGTTTAAGTTACCTACTGCATTAAGTACCTAGATACTTGGTAAAGAATACTTGTTTCTATTAACCAAATCTCTGAATTCACTCTGTATTAAACCTATCCACACAGGTATGTTCAGAAACTAATAATAATATGAGAATATTTTTATATATAAAAGGCTGACCGGCCGACAGGCCAGTAGATATGATATGCACTGACTACCAGGGGGCCGCATTCTTTAAAAGAAACTCTTTAAAACTTAAATCAGGGCTTCATTTGGAGACGTGTGTGAATGACTCAGGCTTCACCTGTAGGCTCAGGACGTCCAGCTTCTTGATGGCACCAACAGGATGCTTCAGGTACAGAGGGTTTCCCTCACAGTAGAATTCCTTCAGCTTCATATACTGAAACTTTCAAAACAAAATAAAAACTTCGTTTCACAACAAAATAACAAATTTTACTCCTGAGGTTACATCTTCAAGAAAATTTGATTTAAAATGCTTTATTTAGGACTTACATTCCACATTAGTATTTTAACACCAGGACAGTTGTTAGAAACATAAGCAAACAAACAAACAAACAAACAAAAAATCCAGAGGAGAGCTTCAAACTAAAATAACAGACAGAAACACAAGGGGAAAAAAAATAAAGCCAATGGGGACACAGAATTACCAGAAAACACAAATAATTGGATACAGGAAATCTTTATAGGCTAATAATCACCCTAAAGGGAAATGGGCTGAACTCACCAATAAAAATGCATATAGTAAACAGTTTGTATTAAAATCCAAACCCAAGTGAATGCTGCCTTCAGAGGACAACTCAGCTGTAATAACAAATATAGATTCAAATGGAAGGATGGAAAAATGATACTCCACCAAATGGTATCCAGCCATATTTATATGGCAAAAAGATGTCAAGATAAAAATGTAGAAAGATGGATATTTTATCATGATAAAAGGGACACTACATAAAAAAGACATAACACTTAATTCATAGTCACCCAATCTGAGAGCACCAAAATAAAGATAGCAACTACTAACAGAACAGAGAGAAACTGACAAAAACACAATTATAGTTGGAGACATATCTCATTTAAAGCTGTGGATTGATTATCCAAACAGAATATGAATAAAGAATTATCAGCCTTAAATGACACATTAGACCAAAGAGGCATAAATAACCATTACTGAGCCGTTCATCCCAGAACACCAGATTATCAGTTCTCCTCTAATGCACATGGAACATTCTCAAAGATCAACTATGTGGCAGAAAACGTCCCTATCATCAGCAATGTCTATAAGTAGGAAACCTTTTTAAACTAAAAGTATTCAAGGCAAGACGGGACATCAGGGTAAGTAGTAGGCAACATATTGAGTAGAGTGTCTTCATGAAAAAAGGAAGGTCAGTAACCATGGGCCTTATTTTCAGGGGACTCTTGTGTGACAATCAGAAAACAAGTGGTTCAGGAAGTGGAGGCAGTGTGAGAGGAGTGGGTGAGACAGAAATAATCAGAATCAAAGGCCAAGATCCAGGAGGCAAAGGACTGCATTCAGGGAGAGAGTTTGTTGGTTATAATTTATTGCTTACCCAGGTAGGCCAAAAGACTGTAAGTGGGTTTGTAGAGGGAAATCAGCTAACGTAGCAAAGAGCACAGGGGAAATAGGAAGCACAGGGTACTGAGAGCAGGGACAGTACCCTCAAGTATACCTATCCATATGATTAGTCGTTACCCTGCTATTTGCAAGTTAGAATCATCCAGGTGCACTCACAGCTTTAAAAGCATGCAAAGGTCCCTGTTTGGGAGATGAATTCAGTGGCAACTAACTCAAATCAAACTTGAAAATAAACAGCAACATTTAGCAGCCAATCAATGATACTCTCTCCTCATTGATGTTTCTATCTCTCTCTTCCATGGCCCTTCCTCTCTGAAATCAATAAAAATGTATTTTAAAAAAGGTATGCTCTGGAAAACAATATTTTCAAAAAGTCTGAAGTGGCCTAAGACAGTATATACTAACAATAAATACCAACCATACAAGTATATTAAAATATTTGATAGCAATCATAGTTCACTTAGTTCAAACAACTTCAGCTGGCACAGAACACAAAGGACAATAGGACAATAGAACCACAAAAGATTTTGAAATATAGAACAAAAAAAGGTATTTGAGTCATTTGTATAACTCAAGATTCCAATTACTACAAGTTCTACTGGTTTTTCATTTTGTTCTAATCCCAGTAGCATAAAAAAAATATGTTTTTCAATGTTAACAGAAGTTGACTCTACTTACTCCTGATGGAAATATCTGAATGAGATTTCCGGCTATGTCTAGGGATTTTAGGTTTATAAGATGACACAATAACTGTTTAAAAAAAAGAGAGAGAGAGATTTTTTAAGAATCTGTAAAATACATAGAATCATAAATATGTCTTCTAAGTTTGAACTTGATGGTATTGGCCATCTTTTCTAATTACCTGATCAATTCTTTTTTACATCCTTCCCAAAGAAGATCTCTGTAACATGAATTGTCAGATTCTCTGAATTTCCTATTTCCCATGACCACTCCAGGGCAACTGGCCAAGAGTTAGGCTATTTGTAGGTTCAAATCTCATTTCTGACATTGACTATGGGTAATTTGTACTTAAATTTCTCCATTTGTAAAATGGAATTGCTAATGGAAGCCCCTACTTCAATGATTGTTGAATGGATTAAATAAGTTACTAAGTGCTTACTGAAGGACCCAATACAACCCAGTCGGTGTGGCTCAGTGGCTAAGCATCGACCTACGAACCAGGTCACTGTTCTATTCCTGGTCGGGGCACATGCCTAGTTGCAGGCTAGATCCCCAGTTTGCATTGTGTGTGGGAGAGGGGCTGATTGGTGATTATCTTTCATCATTGAGGTTTCTATCTCTCTCTCTCACTCCCTTCCTCTCTGAAATCAATACAAATATGTTTTTAAAAGGGCGCAGTACATAGTGAGCAGTAGGCAGACATTACTATTATTACAATGGAAAGAATCTTTGAGAAATGGAAAAGATGTTGAAAGTTGTCTCTAATTGACAATTCTACCACTGGCATATATTTCTTATCTCCCTCTTGCTTAGCACTGTGCTAAATGAACATTTTCCTACACTTGATCTTAGCCAAAAGGCCGAGAAGCGATTGAACATTTTCCTTATACAGTAAAGAAAAAGATCTGTTAAGGTCTCTATCTACATGTCTAATGTGACTGATGGACATATACATTCATACACATGTGAAGATATACATACAATTTATAATGTATCAGAAAATGATTCATACTTTTTTTCATAACCAAAACAAGTATTTTTTGTAAATACCTACATTTACAAAATAATTATAGACTGAATCATATTAAATTACAAGGACATAAATGATCGTAGGCATTCTTTATATAATAATTCAAGATAGGACTTATTAGCATTTAAATTTTTTTAAATTTAAACTCCTGGGGATTTATAAAATTATAGAAAGAGTACTTTTAAGTTAGAGAGACATGGATTTGAGTTTCTTCTCTGATCTTTGCAAGTTGTTTCAAGTCACATATCTCTTTTCCTTATTCTAAAATGGATATAATAAAAAGAGCTACACCATAAAGTTGTTATAAACACTAAATAATATAATGCTTCATCATGACGCTCATATTGCTGCTGTTAAAGCTTTTCCCTAAAAAAAAAAAATGAGTTATACTTTTAATAGATTTAGTCTGTAATTTAAAGATATTTTTACTTGTTTATAGAAATTAGGATTTTTAAAGAATTTAAGAATACAATTTTTTTAAATATATTTTATTGATTTTGTACAGAGAGGAAGGGAGAGATAGAGAGTTAGAAACATCGATGAGAGAGAGTCATCGATCAGCTGCCTCTTGCACACCCCCTACTGGGGATATGCCCGCAACCAGGGTACATGCCCTTGACTGGAATGGAACCCGGGACCCTTCAGTCCCCAAGCCGACGCTCTATCCATTGAGCCAAACCAGTCTCGGCAAGAATACAATTTTAAAAAAAATATTATTTGTAGCCTACAACTTGGTATATTTTCACATATTACATTACAACAAGCACAGAATTTTTTAAAGGAATATTCCTTTGAAAGAAAAATGAAAGCAGGATTTGACCTGCTTTTGTTCTCTCTCAATGTACTGCATGGCATGCATTCCCTCCTACCTAGTTAATTCTAATTTGCATAAGAAGGAAAGGTAAACCCATTGACAGGTTCCCTTCAGGAAACAGTACTCTCAAAGGGAGAAATGTGAGGTGAATTTAGTCAAGTCACTATTTTTAAAAGTTTGACAGGATTTAGAAAAACCTAAACCACAAAATGTAGTTCCCTAAAACCTCCAAGTTCCCAGGAGCTGGGAACCAGCAGCAAGGTATTTTACCACCATAAGCCTAAGGAGCCAAGGGAGATGGTAACAGCCCATGAGAATCACATGACTTCAGCTATGGCTTTCCAAGAAGGTGTGCAGGAAACTCATAGCCCCCCATCAGGCAGGGTACCTGATACTCCTTCTCCTATCCTTTCTCCTGCTAGTGCTGCCAACTGGCCATGTCCAAGAGGAAATTTTTAAAAAATATATTTTATTGATTTTTTACAGAGAGGAAGGGAGAGGGAGAGAGAGCTAGAAACATCAATGAGAGAGAAACATCGATGAAAGAGAAACATCGACCAGCTGCCTCCTGCACACCCCCTACTGAGGATGTGCCCGCAACCAAGGTACATGCCCTTGACCAGATTCAAACCTGGAACCTTTCAGTCTGTAGGCTGATGCTCTTCCACTGAGCCAAACCGGTTTCGGCCTCACTTAAATTTTAAACAATGAGTTTTTTCATATAGTTATGTACCATGCAGTATTAGGAACCTACTTATACTAAAAATTGTTTGTTGCTTATCTGAAATTCAAATTTAAGTGAGTATTGTATATTTGTATTTACAAACCTGGCATCCTTAACTATGTGAAATAAATTAAAAAAAGTTACAACCATCCTTTGTCACAGGAACTTGGGAGCTGACTCCATCTAATCAATCACAAGGAAAGCAAATGGTGGTGCACACTCAGCCACAATCTACAATCATTCTACAATCCCTCCGAATCGTGTTGTAAGGAGAGTTCTTCCCCAGCCAAAGAAAATTCTGTCCCATGCTTTGCTTACCTCTGGCAAAACTTCAATGTTGTTTCTGGCCAGGAAAAGCTTCTGGAGACTCTTCAAGAACCAAATATCTTCGGGTATACAACTGATCTGATTGTAGTTAAGTTGAAGTTCACAAAGATTCTTAAGAAAACAAAGTTCTCTAGGAATACTTGTTAGCTGGTTATGATTTACACTCAAGTATATAAGGTTTTCTAATCTGAAAATTAAACAAGGAACATGAATGAAACTCACACAGAAAAGGAAAGTCTATTGCACAGACACTGCTTGTCAGAAGCCATGTGTGAATTAATCTTCTTGTAGGTCATCTGAGCTTTATTTCAGTCAAATGTTCACAACTACTGTGAATAATCGGAGCATAAAAATTCTTGATTGCAATCAAACTTTTGAAAATAATTTATATTCAGATAGCTTGCATTTTACGTAATCAAAACATAGTTGTTTTTTAAAATATATTTTTATTGATTTTTACAGAAAGGAAGGGAGAGTGATAGAGTTAGAAACATGGATGAGAGAGAAACACTGATCAACTGCCCCCTGAACTCCCCCTACTGGGCAATGAGCCTGCAACTGGAATCGACCCTGGGACCCTTCAGTCTGTGGGCTGATGCTCTATCCACTGCCAAACCAACCAGGGCAAAACCTAGATTTGAAAGAAAGAAAATTCTATTTTCATTCTGTGTACTTACACATTCACTATATTAAAGAGGAAGACAAAGACAAAGGAGGACATATACATGCAGAAATATACATATACATATAAACACATACATGGATATAGGTATTGGTATAGGTATAGTTACAGTTTAATGTATCGTGTGCTAAAAATTTGTGAGAACCACTTAGTTCCTGAGGAAGATGCAAAGATGGGTCAAACACAAACTCTGCCTTTATTTATATATCCTGGTCTAGAGCCAGTTTGCCGACCACAGTGCTAAGCCCATGAGGTGGAATAGAACTGGGATTCAGGTACTACTAGCTGCCCCCACCGAACTATCCCTGTCCCTTGTGGTACCTCCTAGTGGAAGCAGCTAAGTCAAGCTGGAGTAGCTCTGACTATAGGGAGTGCACATGGAGCACCCAGAGGATCCACAGCCTTCCTGCAGGGGAGGGGTTCCCCGAGTCTGAGATAACAAGGTAGTGGAGGGGATGCCCAGCTACTGGGCAATGGGGAAAGGTCTGCACAGTTTAGGGACACTGTCCCACAGAGATCTAGGCAACCCTTGCAATAGAGGTAAGAGAAAATAAAAACTACCGCTTCAACGCCACCTACTGGAAAAAAGGAACTCTATTTTAATTCTTTTTTAAAAGCAGTTTACAAATGCCAGAGCAGAGAATTAAACCATCAAACACAATGAACAACCAAAATAACCAAAGAAATCCAAAAGAAAAATCTTAAAATCTCTAGAAATTGAACTTAACGTCATGGAAATACCCGATTTAAATGTCAGAATATTAAAGACTGCAGTTTTGAAAAGCTCAACAAAATACAAGAAAACTCAGGCAACTCACAAACTCAGAAGTAAAATCAGCGAACAAAAAGGACTATTTTACTGAAGAGGTAACAGCTATAGAGAAAGAGCCAAACAAATACTGTAGCTGAAGAACTCAGTAGGAGATGGAGAATGAACTAGCAAGCTTAAAAAATAAAGCAGACCAGGTGGAGGGAAGAATTTGTGATATCAAAGATAGACATCTAGAAATAAGTCAGATGGAAGAGGAGAAATTTGAAAGTAAAAAAAAAAAAGTGAAAGCCGAAACCAGTTTGGCTCAGTGGATAGAGCGGACTGAAAGGTCCCAGGTTCGATTCTGGCCAAGGGCATGTACCTTGGTTGGGGGCACACCCCTAGTAGAGGTGGGCTGGCTGACATCCCTAGTAGAGGTGGGCTGGCTGGACCCCACCCATCCACAAATTCATGCTCCGGGACTCTAATATACTTATATGCATAACCCATGTACACAGGCAATAGGGTAGTGAAGACCTGGAAGGGTGGGTAGGGCCAGGGAGGGAGCAGGGAAAGGAGTGGAAATGGGAGACATCTGTAATACTATCAACAATAAAAAATATACTTAAAAAAGCCAACCATGTGAAATAGGCGCTATTAATATCTTCATTTTGCAGATAAAGACAAAAGTATAGGAAGGTGAAGAAATTTTCCCAAGGGCAGAAAACAAAACCATGCCTGGGGAGGTACAGCTAGAATACAGACAATCCATGGTAATCTGTAAAACTGTGTAAACCTATGCATTTTTCAATTCTACTTTCTTTCACTTTTCTGACATATCACCATAGGTTTATACAGTTCCTTTTAATATTTTTTTTTGTACTTTAAACAGAGCTTACAAAATTGTAAAATCATAACATGTTACAGCTGCAAAGATTTTGGAGTTCATCTACTCAGATTTCTTACTTTAGAGATGAGAAAGCTAACATATAAGACAGTTAAAGAACATGCTTTAGGTCATCAGGCTGGTTGTAGAAATGTACATTCACAAGATCTTCCAAGTGTTCTTTTTTCATTCAACCAATACATCAATCAACTGAATAAGTGAAGAAGCAAGCAGACAACTATTGGCGTTGTCATTGCTATAGATATTCCTCTTCTTAAAAAATTAAATTGCTTCAAAATTTTTTTCTAGTTGCTCTGACTTAAAACATTATTTTCTTTTTTAAAATTTTTTACATTTTATTTTATTGTTTAAAGTATTACACATATTAGTACATATATCCCCCCCCCCCCGCCCCACTGACCTTCCCCCAGTCTCCCTACACCCTGTCGTTGCTCTTATCCCACCCCCCAGTGTCTTATGCCCATTGGTTGTGCTTATATGAATACATACAAGTCCTTCGGTTGATTAAAACATTATTTTCTATGCAAAAAATCTACCTGGAAAACAATACATTTGTTAGAGGTATTGGTAAGTGAATTAGAATAGACTTTTATGATACCTTTCTATCAATCTGAAAGTGATTTACAATACTCACATGAAATAAAATTTACTGTCACCAATTCTGTAGTGGAGCAACCTCTAAGAACTACAGAGTTGGGAGTTTAATAACACTTTAGAACTGTATGTTTCACACCCCCACTCTTACACTTAGACTACCAAGCCATGCTGTTTCTCATTTTTCTTCAGCGTTTAAGGAATCATCTGCTTAAAAATGGCGGCTTGTCTCAGTTCTTCAGATGTCCCCTTTGCTATGTACAAATCCCACAAGGACTTGAAGCTCAGCATAAGATTTTCCAAGGGCCCTGGTGGGTAGGGGGGTGGGCGGAGGGGTAAAGAGGTGGGGGGGGGGGTAAAGAGGTAGGGAGTAAACTAAATGTCGCTATCAACAAAATTACCTGCTGACTTCTTTAGGAATATATGTGAGCTGGTTGTTGTTCAGATTAAGTAGGGTCAAATTTTTCAAGCCATCTGTTAGAAAATAATTTCGGACACTTTAGCTATATACAAGTTAGCTATAATTTTTAGACATTTTTCTGTATAACTTGATTTTCCTTCTGATTTCTGGTCTTGCCCATGGCTCTTGGCTTGCTGGTAACAGATAAATTCTTAAACTCGCTTCAACAAAAAGTGGTGAATTTACCACAAAGTCTTACTATGCTAAATCACGGTGCCTGAGGATAGAAGGTATAGCCTAGTTAACTGAACTCAAACCAGAAAGGCACTACAATAGACACTGGAACACATAAATATTTGTGGAGGGAATGAATGAAGTCCAAAATTCTTCTTTACGGATGACATTCATCTACCCAACAAACATCCTGTGGGATATCAGTCCGACGCCCCATCCCCCCGCATCTGTGAATCCCACATTCAGCTCTGACAGGCCCAGCAAGCGTGTCCACCCAAGCAAACCAACACGGGCACACATAACACCCTCTCTTGGCACTTGTGCACACCTATCCCCTTGCGGGGCTCACTTCTCCTGCCCATGGTTCTGTGCCCTGTGCCCCACTGCTACACAGCACCTCTGTGAGACTGTCCATGATGACAGTTTCTTGAGAGCTGAGCAGGTTGGACTCCCATTCAGCCAGCTCCTAGCAATTGCTGGCATGTGGCAATGTGATTCCAGTATTGCCTAATCTTTCTTTTTTTAAAAGAGAGAAAGGTCCAGAAATTTAGCCTTAATATGAATTATCTTGATCTGCAAATCTTGATGCTAAATTCAAACTTATATGTAATACTTTCAACAATAAAGATAAATTTAAATAAATAAATGCACTGCAGAGAGAGAGAGAGAGAGAGAGGGGGGGGGGGAGAGAGAGAGAGAGAGAGAGAGAGAGAGAGAGAGAGAGAGAGAGAGGGAGAGGGAGAGAGAGAGAGAGAGAAAGGAAAAAAAAAGGAAAGTGAGAAGGAAAGAAAAGGAAAACACAGACAAAACAGAACCAACCTATCTGTGACCCAAATTCAGCTCATGAGCCACCCATTTACAACTACTATCTTATGATTACTCAAGCCAATTAAATTTTTAAAGATTTTATCACAATCTCTAGCAAAGCATGTATGACTGACCCAGCTTAAGATACATGTAACCCTAGTTCACTCTGCTCTGGTCAGGAGACAGGGTCATGTAATACATGATGAACAATGCAGTTGAATAATCATGATCTGATAGAGACCATAATTTATGTCAACCACATAGGATTTTCAAAGTTCAACAGCCAAAATTAAGATATACAGGAACCGAAGACATTTAGGGGCAGTGTACACAGATCAGATATATTTTATAAATCTCACTTAAAGGCAACATGAGAAAAAGATTCCTTACAGAAATCTAAATTAGCATTGAATTGTTTAATATTATATATATATATTATAATTATATATATATATATATATCAGATTTTACTTAAATTTATTCCCTCAGTATAGCTAAAAGATATTGTCTACTTTTTCCATTCCATAATTGTTTTCTTGTGTAAACTGTTTTCTTCCTAATTAAAGTGTAACAGAATGCTAAATATGTGGTTTTGTAAATAAAATGTGCGTAAACATTGATAAGTATTTGTCACATTTTTTTTTAACCTTCACCTGAGAATATGTTTTTATTGTTTCAGAGAGAGAGAAAGGAAGAGAGAGAGAGAAATGAAGAGAGAGAGAGAAAATCATTGATATATGAGAGACACATAGATTAGATTGGTTGCCTTCCTTACGTACCCTAACAGGGGCTGGGGATCGAACCTACAACCCAGGTACATGCCTTTGACTGGGAATTGAACCCGACACCCATTGGTGCACAGATCAACACTCTAACCCCTGAGCCACACCTGCCAGGGCTAAAGCTATCATCTTGATCAAAGACTGTGACTTAGTATCTGAGACAAAATAAAAAGTATAAAGGAAAAGGAGAGCTGTGGAAAGCTTTCCTTGATTTGATTTTCCACTAGTTTTCACTCTGGCACAAAGGAAGGGCCCATAGATTCAAGAGTATAAACAGATACAAAAATTCACTACACTAATGCTTGCTTAGGTCTACATCTAAAGAAATATAGTACAATAGCTGGGGAAAAAGTACCCCAAATTTCATAATTTCAAGAGTAGCAGGTAAATATCTCCCCCCAAAAGCAAAACATGTAACGTTCATTTTTCCTTTAGTTATAAATGGTTAAATATAAGGGGATTAAGTTTGAGACTATAATACTGCTTTTCTTTGACTAACTTACCACATATTTCAGATGCAAATCTACTAATCCTATTTCCAAATAAATGAAGCTTCGTCAGGGATGTGAGGTATTTCACCTCTTCTGGAACTTCTTCTAAAAGATTGTTTCCCATATTTAGTACTGTAAGCTGCAAACATAAAGATATTTAATGGACTCAGACATTATCTACCTTCAAATGAGAAAAAAGAAATAACTAAGTCCCTTTGCTGAGGTCCACGTAACCTAAGAAAACTTCCGCATGATCACAAACTGTTATTTTACACATATCTAAAATAATTTTTATAAAGTTCATTTAGTTCGTGTTCAAACACTTTATGCTAATTAAAGCACACTTTAATTTTATCAATTACAGCCCTTCATTAAAATTTCATCACAAACTATTCCAAGGGTATTTAAAAATGCAGTTAACAGTTCATCTATAACTCACTTGAACAGCTCAAGAATACACTAGCATTGTGACCTATAGACTCAAAAACCATTAAAAAAAAAAAATCAACAAAAGAGCTAATTCCCTGAACTAAGAAATGTTGCCAAAGATCTGAGGCCCTCCTGTCATACTACTCCCAAAGGAAGCATTAAATTCGGATGGAGCAAGAGGCGAGGACAAGGATAACAGAGGCATGACTGCAATGGGCCAGGTGGGAGAGAAGGATGGCTTGGGCGACATCTTTGCTTAGATCCTTTTCCTTCTCTGCTCTACTCTGCTTCCTTCACACCCTTATGGGTTTCTCCTGATAGCACAGCCTCAATCAATTACAGAAATCTATGACTCAGGCTCTACAAGAAATAGAGCGTCACAGAAACCAAGAGAAATGAAAAGGCAGCTATTTTAAGAAGGTAACTATGGCTCAAATCCTGGAGAAAAGGTAAAAAAAAAAAAAAGAAAAAGAAAAAGCAAAGAAACAACCATTGGAATTAGCAATGTGAACATCAATAGTGACCTTGACAATGGTACTAAAGTGTTGGAAAGGAAAAACTCTTTGAGGTGTGCCGTCAAGAAAATTTGAGAAAGCAGATAATTATTTGAAGAACTTTTTTTTTTTTTTTTTTAATAAAGGAACACTGGAAAATTAGGAGGCAGCTGAAGGGGTTTTCCAGAAAATAAAATACACTTCATTTTGTTATATGCTGATGGATATAAACCTGTAGATAATGAGTAGCTACTAATACAAGGAGAGGAATAATTGCAGAAATCAAAATCTTTTAGATTTTAAGATGATAGGATCCAAAGTGCAAATAGGACCTTTTCATCTGGGGACTAAGAAGGAAAAGAAAAGGTGTGTGCAGATCAGAACACTGGATCGATTTGGTGATGGAAAAATAAGGGAGCTCCGACTGATAGTGTTTATTTCTCAATGAAATGTGAACCAAAATTTGCTGAGAGGAGAAGATGTAAGAAGTTTGATGAAGTGTAATTTTGAAGACCAATTTTGGGAAATATACTAGGATAGTTGACAGCCAACAGTTAGCTCCCAAAAATGATATTAAGTAGATAAAAGGCTAATATGCAAATAAACCGAATGGCGGGACAACCAGTCGCTATGACACACACTGACTGCAAGGGGGCAGACGCTCAACGCAGCAGCTGCCCCCTGGTGGTCAGTGCGCTCCCACAGAGGGAGTGCTGTTCATCCAGAAGCAGGGCTCATGGCTGGTGAATGCAGTGGTGGAAGCCTCTCTCACCTTTGCAGCACTGCTAAGGATGTCCGACTGCTGGCTTAGGCCCACTCCCCACAGGAAGCAGGCCTAAGCTGACAGTCACACATCCCCTGAAGTCTCCCAGACTGCGAGAGGGCACAGGCTAGGCTGAGGGGCTCTCCCCTGCAGTGCCCTCCACCCCTCGCGAGTGCACGAATTTCATGCACCAGGCCTCTAGTTAACCATATGGCTTTTTGGCTAGAAAAGGCTATCATGTGAAATTCTGAGCACCACCACCAAGAATATGACACTAGATGATGAAGAGGGTTCAACTGATAACCTCAACATTTAAAGGATTTCAAAGTTAAAACTAAGATGAAGTCAATGGAACTGGGATGATTCTAGATGGAATAAGACCACTAAAAAAAGAAGATTCACTGATGACCTTCAAAGTCATAAAGGTATTTGAAAGACCAAGTGGTTACCCTCTCTCACCCTGGCAAATATGTCAGAGTTCCAGCGTAGATTATATAAACTATACAGAAAGGTCCAGAGACACCTTAGCAAAAAAAAAAAAAAAAAAAAAAAGGCCGAAGCCTGTGTGGTTCAGTGGTAGAGTGTCGGTCTGCGGACTGAAAGGTCCCGGGTTCGATTTCGGTCAAGGGCATGTACATTGGTTGTGGGCACATCCCCGGTAGGGGGTGTGCAGGAGGCAGCTGGTCGATGTTTCTCTCTCATCGACGTTTCTAGCTCTCTATCTTTCTCCTTTCCTCTCTGTAAAAAATCAATAAAATATATTAAAAAAAAAAAAAAAAAAAAGAGTTGCCTTTGAGAAGTACCTCAGGACCCAATCTAAATATTCCATTACTTCAATTGTGTTTGTTATATGTGTACTGTGTACCTGTTATTATTCTGAATACTAAAGTTAAAAAAGACACACAAAATTCCCTCTCTCATAGTGCTTATACATTGGGAAATGAGACAGACAACAAATAAGTACACAATTTCTGTTACTGCTAAGTGCTACATATAAAGGAAAGAAAATAGGACAATGGAATGGAAAGTAACTCGGGCTGCTATTAGGGAGGACCACTCTGAGGAGGTGATGTTTGCAGGAAGGCAATGGGATGCCTTGGCAAGGCTATTCTCAATGGTGCTTTACTCACAAGGCTTTCAGAAATAGCAAGCATCCAGAATGAACATGACAGTGTTGCATTAGTAACACTCTCTATGGTTATGGGCAGTCCCCAAGGGAAGGCTTTAGTCATCTAAGAGACAACTACTTGGGTTAGTTTAAAACTTACATTACTTTAATAATTGTATATAGAATGAAGTTCTGCTTGTGTTTTCAGAGTGTAGCACTTCTATTCCTTGAATGTGGCATAGTGCTATAGATTGAAATACACCATGACTACTAAATAGTTTTTCATAGACCAGTAACACAGAGAAAAATGAACTTTTAGAAGTCATCTAGTGTATCATAGAATGCAAATGGGCTATATCTTCCTCATGACACAATAATGGGTAGCTTTTTTTATTTTGCTAGATGTTTTTATTTATTTTTCTGTATTTAGGCTCTCTGAAACATCTACCCAATTTTTCCCACAGTAATCATAAAAATAGTTTCATCCCCCATATAACAGTCTTTCAAAATGTTAAAGATTGCTATTATATTTCTCCTAAATGTGTTCCATTCTTCCTTAACCAATTTCCGCAGGACATCATTTGCATACCCCTCACCATCCTGGTCATTCTTTAAGTTTTGTAAGGAGACCTAGAACTTGGCTGAGACAGGGAATGTGGTCTCCGCATAGATACTGATGAGACCACAGACTCTCCCTCAGGCAGATGACTACACTTATCTTAATGCAGCCTACACGGCACCCACTCTTTGTTCAGCAGCACACATTGTTGGTACATAATTAATTTTGTTTGTGACAACAAAAACTGCTAAGAGTCAAGGAGATCACTAACATCCAAGACTTAGACAATTAAGTTATTTTCTTAACCTAAAATGCAGTTATCCCTGCAAAAATTGCATCGTGATGGTTTGGGCTCAAAAGACACCTCAAGTGAATGTGAAGTTGTCGCTTTAAATTCAGTCTAAAACTGGACAAGCCAGTTCTGTTTTTCCCATCTGCACTTTGGTTGACGCACCCATCGTTTTTGTAATCCTATGGTAGCCCCACTTTGAAATCACCTAGCACTTCTTTTTATCCACCTACATTCAATCAACAAATTCCATTCTCAAAATTCCTTGTAGATGCAACTTTCCAGCTATACCTCATTGCAATCACCCTATTACTAGTAATCATCACTGACTAATTATAGCATTATATAGCTGAAGAATGCAATAAATAGGATGTGCTATCATTTAAATTCCCTTTATTCGACCCTGTTGGATTACATATAAACAGCTGCCCAAATTATCAGCTGAGGAGCAATTTGTTTACCCAATATTTCCTTAAATGTTTCAACCTCTCTGTAGCCTTTTTGACATTTTTATACACTTGCCTTAAATAGTGTCTATCCCAAGTCGCCCTAAATTTGATTTATCTGATTACATTGGCCCACTCATACCTCTGGGTTATAACCTATCTGTGGCCTGCCTTGAAATAAATATGTGTGTTCTTACATCTTGGATGTGAGATAAGCATCTCAGTGTCCACTGATGCCTTTGGATAATGAAATCTATGTTTAATGTGTAGCAATCCTACCTAATAAAAGAGTAATATGCAAATTAACCACCACTCTACTACACTCCAAGCCACGCCTACCAGCCAATCAGAGCGAGTATGCAAATAAACCCAACCAAGACGGCTACAGCCACAGAGAGCAGGAGGAAGGCGTTTCCCTGGCAATGGAGGAAGCCAAGCTTTCTGCCTGCCCTTGCTGGCCTAAGCCTTCACTCAAGACTACAAAGTTTTAATTATGGAAGGTAGACAAATTCCAACAGAAATGGCTGCTGCTAGGGAGCAAGCAGGAGGCTTGGCTCTGTTCCAGGTTACAAAGTTTCAATTGTTGAAAGTATTGAGCCTGCAACTGAAATATGTGCCCTTCACAGAATCAAACCTGGGACCTTTTAGTTCACAGGCCACACGCTATCCACTGAGCTAAACGAACTAGGGTGTAACTTTCTCTCTTCTTAACCTCTCATCTGCCCTTTTATTAGCAAATGTGAACATGAATGAGCAATATTTCTCAACTGTGTAAATAATCTATATTCATCTTTTGAGTGTTTCCAGCATATTTCATCCCAGAGGCCCAATGCACGAAATTCGTGCAAGAGTAGGCCCTTGCAGGCCTGACTGCCTTGGGGCGCCATCCTCCACCCACTGGTAGTTCCAGGTCATCTCACCATCCAGTCTCAACTTTGGAGACTATATATAAGAAAAGTTAGGAGTTCATGAGCAGCTAAACAATGTCATTGCCCTAAGTAAAGAGCTGACTCAGCTTAGCCCTTACTTTTAAATAAGAAATCATACTTTACTTTTAAAAAATGAATATAACTGATTTGAAACTACTTCAAAAGAAATGAATATCCCTTCCTTCCCATTCCCTGACAACACTCCATTTCAAAGTTCAGCCTACTGTAGCTGGTTGGTGTAGTTCAATGGTTGAGCATTAAACCATGAACCCAGAGGTCCTCCTGGCCAGGCTATCTGCCTGGGTTCGGGTTTGAATCCCTGTGGGGGGTGTGCAGGAGGCAGCCAATGAATGATTCTCTCTCATCATTGATGTTTCCTCTCTCTTCCTCTTTAAAATCAATACAAATACTTTAAAATTTTCAGCCTGCTGTAGGAAACTAAAAGGAAACCCCATTCCATTACCCCAAATGTCTCTTCATTCCATAGGCAAAAGCTTCAGGAGAGTCCCCAGGATGCACAGCATTCTAGGGATCTTCAAATGCACTTCCAGATGGAGTCCCCAAGGTAGACAATTAGATCTAGACTCTTAAGCCTTTCCAGAAGACAGCCTTCAGAAAGATGAGTATGGCAGAGACCTAATCATGAGTCTAGATGTGCTCCCAAGAGAACATGAACAAACTGTAACTTCTTCCCCTACCACATGGAATTCCTAAGGGAGGACAACTCCAGGTGCCTCTCTAACAAGGATCCATGGGAAGTCTTCAAGAAACCAAATCTCCATATATCAAAGCCTACTGTTCTCTCACCTCTTTGACCCTTAATCCCCAAAGATAAATTCTTCTTCACCTGGGTTAAGGTGCTTAACTCTGAGCACACGCTGGGGATTAGGTTATTCTGAAGGTTTAGAACCTTCAGGCCAGTCAGGTTTCCTATAGTTGAGGGTATCTTCCTCATCTTCTTCCCATTCAAGGTGATGATCTTCGTGGTTTTACCACCCTTTACTCCTCCAAAGAACAACTTTTCTTCCATGAAGTTGGAAGAGTGATAGAAAAAGGGTACGGTACACATTATGGATTAAGTTCCTTAGTAGGTAGCTTTACAGTCTCTCATTGCAGAATTGTTGTCGTGTCATGGAAACAAAAACATTCTAAGATCTACCACGCAGAAGGTGGGAGGCAACTGACAGTTTCTTGAGTAAGAGGTAGGGAGGGGAAATAGCTGATTCCAGGCTTGGGGTAAAAAAATGTACAAGATGAGCTGAGAATATCTTATGCCAGAGACATGGAAGTAAAGACTAAGGAGATCCAAGAACATGAAAGCCAATTTACAAGGAACATCACTGGCCTAAAATCAGAAAATTTGAGGATCAGAAAAAATAATCAAGAGTGGCCTCGTACATGAACATGTACGGATTCATAAGGGTATTTTTAAAATAAAAGAAACTCATTGATTACACTGGGGCTCGCTGGGAACCAATTCATAAATGTGAAAATTGATCAAGGAAAAAAAAAATGCAGCATTTATCAGGTATCTTGATCTGAAGGCTTATGAACTAAAAAGACAAGTTACCTGTTATCATATATCCAGAATTTAACAAAGGGTTTTCTAGGCATGCCCTTGACTTCACCTTTAGACTTTCATTTGGCAAGCTTATTTTGTGATTAAATTTGCTCTTTCTTGTGGTAAATGTTTCCAAACATGAGCAGATGCTTCGTGTATTAGAAATCTGTAGAAATCCTCTCCTGTAATAAAGAAGAATATTGTGTTTCTCTCGGTTTTCTTTTGAAATTTGGAAATGGCAGTTTTGATTTCAAGTGCTGTGGATCCTCAAAGACCCACTTTCTAGGGGCAGCCTCACCACTTAATAGCCCTGTGGCTAAGTTATTCATTCTCAACCTCTTTGAGTCTCATTCCCATGAGCTATAAAACAGGAATGACGATACCAACCCCTGCCTTCTGTGAGGAGTGAATAAGCTTGCTTATGCAAAGCATTTAGCACACCGCTTAGCACAGTAAATGCTCGTTACATAAGAGTAATTATGTTTTCTTTTGTACCACCTCACAGACATTTAAATTCAGATTGCTGTTTTGTTAACAAATCTCAAGCATGCAAGCATAACTCTATTCTCAGGATTAATACAAGGTGCTAACATGTTACAGAAAACCGAAGAACAAAGCAATACTTACAGAGATGGAGTTACATTTATTAGGCACGGGTCCAGAGGAAAATGTATCTCAAATTCTGGGCCCCAACATACAGGAACTTGCCCCATTTATATGATTTTACCTTCTTTATCTCCCAAATATGGAGTGTTTCCGGCCTCTTTTGCAAGTTCTTAAAGAGCCCGTGTGTACTGGGCCTTGAGACCTCAACCAGAGGCCCAGCCTGGTGCCAGCACCGATAACCTTGTCTGGGGAAAGTTTAATGGCCTAGCTGAAGTGGGAGTAGTCTTAGCAAGCAAGAATTTACAGAAGCCCATTAGCAGGGTTAAAATTTCAAACAGCAGTTTTCATAGAAGATGGATGCTTCAAACATATGCCTACTGTGCTAAGTAAGGCCTTTTCTCCCTATGGCCACCCGCATTCACCATATTGTTATCAATCACCACTTCATCTGCTTAGACACCTGAGTGCACTCTCAATATGAGGGTCTAGGTGAGATCTTTCAGAGATGTTCTTCAAAGATTCTCAGTTGGTCATGAGATTAGAAATATGTTGGGGGGTGGGGGGTAATGGGGAAGTAAGGACACATATGTAACACCTTAATCAATAAAGAAATAATAATAATAATAAAAGAAATATGTTAGGGGTTCACACTTTAAAACAGGAAGCAATCTGAAAAATACAGCTACCAACTTTTACTTTTGGCAAGTAAAAGCACTTAGAAAATTCTCTCATCTACCACCACCCCAATTTTGTTTAAAAAAAAAGACATTTTAACCCCTCTGCTAAAAGAATATCACTATCTCATATTAAATTTTCTTATTTTGCCAGTGGTTTTAACTTACAGACCATATTTGATTACTACTAGGATGGATAAACCCTCTGAGATTCTACTTACATATACCCTTTACAGTTTTTTGAAGCTTCCGCAAAAATTAAATAAGAAAACAGAAGAAAATAATTAAATAAAAAGTAGAAATAAGCAGTGAAAAATAGAGCAGTGAGGTAAAACCAGGTCCAATAAGATAACTAATCATCTACAAAGTCTAATTAAGGATGGAATGAAAGCAAAAGAGGAACAGAAAAGGGAGTAGTAGAAGATAATGCCAGCCGAAACCGGTTTGGCTCAATGGATTGAACGTTGGCTTGCAGACTGAAAGATTCCGGGTTCGATTCTGGTCAAGGGCATGTACCTTGGTTGTGGGCACATCCTCAGTGGGGGGTGTGCAAGAGGCAGCTAATCGATGATTCTCTCTAATCGATGTTTCTAACTATCTCTCTCCCTTCCTCTCTGTAAAAAAATCAATAAAATGTTTAAAAAAAAAAAAAGATAATGCCAAGCAATACTTTAGCTCAGAAATTGGGCATTCTTGCCTGAGGCATAAAATGGAAGTTAGCAGACCAGGTAGGAATGGTGGGAAATGAACAGAAAATCTGCATGCTCTAATGACTGCAATGATGAATGCTGACAAGACAAAGTCCTGGCCCTGTGGTGCTGACCGTTCTAATTTTTTTTTTTTTTTTGAAAAACCAGAAATATGGCTTTTAAGTGAAATCTCCCAGTTCTTAAACACTACCAACTAACAGATTTTTTTTTTTTTTTTTAATCACTTGAACAGTCCAAATAAAATCCACCTCTGGGCCACATTCAGCCCTCCGGTTGGGAAGCTCTGGTGTAAAGTGAGAAAAAGATGATCCTGGGTAACAACCTGAAAGAAAGTCAGAGGAAGAGGCACAGCCCAGAACAAAGACTAGGACTACAGAGGAGGAACCAGCAAGGTGTGGTGTTATGAAAAGTCGGAGAATTTCAAGGAGCAGTCTCCTGTGAAAGGCAGCGGACATTTCCAATAAGATAAGAACAGGTAAGTGGTCACTGGGACTGGCTGTAGAGCAGATTCAGTGGAGTGGTGGGGGCTAAAACACGGGTGCTGGTTGAAGAAGATATATAGTCCAAACCACCAAGGTTCAATGAACGGCAATGAGTGGAGATATCCCCCTCACATCTGCTGCTGGCGCTGAGCTGGCTCATGCCGGAAATGCTGCTGGCCATCTTATAAGGTGCAGACGGCCTCCACAACAAGGAAGTACCCAGCTCACAAAGCCAACACTGTGAGGTAGGTGTGCAAGACTTTCTGATTTTATGGGGGGAGAAATGCCTGTTTCAAGAACAGTTAGCTAAAACAAGGTCGTTATTTTTGCTCAACTCATGCATTCAGGGTCTCTCTCATTAGGCCCCATGCTGATACTGTATTTGTTAAGATTATAAAAATAAATAGGTGTTTCCTTTTGTCAAGACAAGAATGATAGAAGAGCCAAAACCGGTTTGGCTCAGTGGATAGAGCATTAGCCTGCGGACTGAAAGGTCCCAGGTATGATTCCGGTCAAGAGCGTGTCCCTAGGTTGCGGGCACATCCCTAGTAGGGGGTGTGCAAGAGGCAGCTGATCGATGTTTCTAACTCTCTATCCCTCTCTCTTCCTCTCTGTAAAAAATCAATAAAATGTATTTAAAAAAAAAAAAAAAAAAGGAGTGATAGAAGAAAAATCAGGAGAATTGTAAGTCATCTCTGTTTAAAGAATCGATACATTCAACGATCTTGTAGAAAGGCAGTAAGTTTCAGTAAGACATACCATCATACCAATTATAATAAAATAAGACAACTACAAACTTCTTAGTAAGTATATTAACAATGCTTTTAATATATTTTTAGTACGTACACTTATTTTCAAGGATCTTTATATTTTTCAGGTTCATTAAAATCAAATTGTCCTAACACACACATGAAGGTATAAATTAACCATAACACACTATCAGAAGTTAAGAAAAAAGGAAGTTCCCTTGAGTTCCATTCCACAAAAGAACAAAAGTTTTAAGAATTCATCCAGCCCTAGCTGGTGTGGCTCAGTGGATCAGTGGATAGAGCCTCAACCTGCGGACTGAAGGGTCCCAGGTTTGATTTCAGTCCAGGGCACATGCTGGGAGTGTGGGCTTGATCCCCAGTGCGGGCATGCAGGAGGCAGCCAATCAAAGACTCTCTCATCACTGATGTTTCAATATATCTCTCCCTCTCCCTTCCTCTGTGAGATCAATGAAAGGATACACACACACATATAATTCATCCAAAGGCAAGATAAATTATAAAGCAGCCCTTTTATGAAAAAGCACTATTGTCAGTCAGTATTTCTCTTTTCCTAAAAGTCCATTAACCTAATGACAATTCCTCAGTCATATACTGTACTTTCAACTGATCATAAGTATACTGTCAACAAACATTTATTAAGCACTTAATATATAGGCCAGGCAATGTGCTGAATATTATAAATAATAGTGAACAAGTTATTTCTAAGCATTTAAATACTAGGAGAAGATAACAGCAATAATAAACAACGATAACAAACTAAATACAATAACTAATTTCAAGTGAGTAGTCACTAGAAAAACGCATTAAGTGGGGTACCTACCCACCTGGGTGGCAGGATTCTGGGAAGCTTGCCAAGATGGGTGCTATTTAAGCTGAAGACAGGACAGTAAGCTAGATGAAGCAGGTTGGCCTCAAAGGCCTCCAAGTAGGAGGGAAAAACAATGGGGTAAAGGACAAGAACTTTGCTTCCTAAATCTTACCTTGAAAAAAAAATTAGAAACCCCATTAGTTCTACTATTTCTATAAGATGCAGAGAGACTATTTTAAACAAGACAAAGTGGAAGAATTGATTATGTTAAAACATACTTGACAGGAAGAAAAAGACTCATTTGTTCAATAAGCAAAAGCAGTATAAAATTGCTAAATAAATCCTCAGAAAAAACAACTGATCTGCTCCTTCATCTAGTTCATGACAACTTGTACCAAGACATTAACAAATCTGTGCCAGCATTAATTTGCACAAACTTCCTTCTTACTGCTTCACATTCTTGCACACTAATTATTCATTTGTCTTTTCCTCAACACCCACCAGTCCGAGAATATTCCAAGTCACTTGCCCTAAGGCCTAAATAAACCTTCATTATTTTAAAATATCCAAAATTCCAACCTGATTTCCAAGAGCCATACCTTAAGTGGCTATTATTTTACTATTTCCCTCATTCAGTTTGGGGCATAATATATTTATTCCAAATCTTTTAAATGCAAGAATAGGTTGTTGCATTATTTTCAATTATATGTGAGGACAATATACTAGTGTAGGCTGGATATAATTCTACAACAAACTGAGTTTTCTCTATTTCTATTATATTATATAAAAGTGTTAACGAATAACAATTTAAACAAATGTTTATTGAATTCATCTTTTATTCTTCTTTTGGCAAACAGATAATATAAACAAAACTATACCGCTCGCTATAGTTATACACACTCTGTCTTGCTTTACACAGTTGTAAACATATTTAAGTGGATAAAATTCTTGACTTAACACATTCCAGAATTCTGACACTTTTTGAGTTAAAGCAAAAGAAAGCTTATGAAACTTCCATTGGACTATCATTACACAGCAAACAAAATTAGTATATCTGCTTTTAAATTAACATCTACCATTTTTTAAAGACTTCAATTTTAGGTTTAAGCTAAAAGGATTTTTATCTAAAGTTTTATGAAAAAACAGAGCTAACCATACAAATGCTATTCATAACCATATCAACCATTTAAAGATGACATATGTCAGAGGGGTGGTAGTGGGCAGAGATTAACCAGTGCAGTTATATGCACATATGGACACAGACAACAGTGTGGGGAAGGCCTGGGGAGGGGGCATGAATAGGTTAGAGGGGAACAATGGGGGGAAGGGAAGGACATGTGTAATACTTTCAATAAATATGTTTTAAAAAATTATACAAATTAAAAATAAACCTATAATTTAAAAAAATGCCACTCATCTTGTTAAAAAAACAACAAAAAAACCTATCAGTAAGGTATTTTCCAATGCTTTAAATGTAGATGGAACTTATAATAACTGTTTCATGATACTTTATTTTATTCTTTTTAAAAAATATATATTTTATTGATTTTTTTTACAGAGAGGGAGAGGGAGAGCCAAAAACATTGATGAGAGAAAACATCGATCAGCTGCCTCCTGCACACCCCGTACTGGGG